CACTGGCCTTCAGGAATCCCACAGGAGGATTACAGAGAAAGGTGGTTCCAGGTTGGTCATTAGAGGTAATTAGAGCCTGTCAGTGCACTCAGGGTCCTCACAAAGTAGAGCAGAAGATACAGCGGGTAGTCTGGGCAACTCCTTGCTCACGTGTAAAGACTGGCCAGAGGCAAGTGGGAGAGAAACGACAGCAGAGATTTAGCCATCTTGTGCTCTCACACAGTCATCAGAGAAAGATTTTGGCAATGTATACATTAGACACTTGAAATATGCCATCAGAGCATGGCCCAAGGAGATATGAAGTGTAGGAGAAAGGGAGACTGTCGATACCAGCTGGTCATCAACAAGACTCGTTTATTAGTCGTTTATCCTGCTTTTTATACATTTCTTAATTAACCTCATGCATATTACAAAGCTTGAGCTCATGATTGGTTGCTAACGGTATTTGATTGTTTATTAGAAAGATAACTTCAGTCTGGCCAGCCCAGATTACGATCGATAAGCAAGCAGCTTCTTCATTCTTCCGGTATCAAACCGGTTCCTGCTTGCCTTTGTTCGTGCAGCTGCATCAACTTCTTTATCTCAAGTACACTCTGTCCTTTGTCTTACTTAGGCCCTCCAGCTCTGTCTGGCTATGTCCTTTCTCCATTAACCAGGTTTGAACAATGCTCTCTACAATGAAGTTAGGAAAACATGCTGCCAATATGACTCATGGGGAAGTAGATCACTTATTGTATAGGAGAATTTACCGCTGATGTAGCAACAAGGAATGGTATGCAAATTTTCTCCTTATCATCTACACCTCTGCAAGCATATTCACACATAAGCACACCCTGCACTCACACAAGGTGGTGTTTCAGTTGGTATCACTCACATGATGGAGCACTACCTCTGTCTTGGGCAATTTCTACATTCCCTTGCCCCAAGTAAGAAGATAAGGGCTCTAGTAGGCAGCAAATCAAAGCAAGTCCTTGCTCTTGAGCTGTGGAATAAGATTCTCAAAGCTGGGGACAGCTTTGAAAAGAAAGTTGTTCCACACGAGCAGTCAGCTCTTAGCTTCCCAATCTATTTACAACTGGTATATTCACCCTGGGATTCACCTTACTTTTGTCATGATTTTGCGGGAACTCACCTGAATGCTGCCATTACCCTCACACATTGCCTTTTAGGAAGCCTCTCCTGGAAAAAGCTCCAATTTTATGTGCTTAGCCAGTTCCTGGGCTCCTTTCTGGCAGCAGCTACTGTTTTTTGCATCTAGTATGGTATGGTTGCTTCTTTATTCTGGTGGTGGGGACAGTGCCGTGGATACTATGTCAGTCTTAGCTTACAGTCCATCAAAATGTTTCCCTTTACCATATGCAGCATGATGTCTGGGTGAAAAGGATGTGCTCTTGCTAGCAAGACAGATCCTTATAACTCAAGGCCAACACAAGGCCCAGGGAATTCCCACTACCAAAACCTGCCTCAAGGCTGGTAACTGCATTTTGGCAGTGTTTTGTTTCTAAGGTTTGGCACGTTCTCCAGTGCTCAGAGTCACTGTGGCTGAGGCTCTCATGGGATAACTGCACCAGAAAGTGCAAGAGCTCGAGTTAGATGAGCTACCAAGCATCAAGCACAGCTGGAGCTGTGTGGGGGACTCAGATGGACTGTGGAAAACAGCAGTTATTCTTGTTTGTGAAGCAAGTCTAAATCTCTGCCGCTGGCCCCTGGAGAAGGGATGGGGAGCTGTCTAGTTAAGGAAGCAACAGCAGACCAAATTCTCCTGGTGACAGATCAGAGAGACCGTGCTCTGGAAAGGATGTCTTGCTCTGGACACATCTGCTTTTGCCTCTTTTCCCATCGTGTCTGTACTGCCTGCAGCGAGTAGACATTGGTCCATACCACACATGATGAACTCCGTGCTGGCTGCTGTGCTAACTCCTATCTCCCTTTCTCCTAGAGGCACTGTATGACTACACCAAAGGCAACTTTACAGTGACTGGTCCAAATGCCATGGCAGGCATCTTCTCCACATACCCTGCTCCCTATATGTCCTTGATGGGAGGCTTCCTCATGGAAGTCAGTGGGGACAGCTGTGGTGTGCTAGGAGAAGGTGGATAGCAGTAGGTGCTACTGCACCTCTGGTACAGAGGACTCAGGGCTGTGTGTGCTGACCTAAGCACAACCCTTGCTTCAAGGAGTCCCTTGTCCTGACAATTGTCCAGCTGCAGGCAGAGTTCAAGGCAGCTTGGTGACTAAGTTGGGGAGCAGGACACAGAAATCATGCGCTCTAGCTGTGGGGGAGCTTGGGTCAAGGGAAGACTCTGTCAGCACAACAGCCCAAAGTGTGGCCAACACAGGTCACTGCGCTGGTATGAGCTGTGCTCAAGACAGCATTAACAGGAGGAAAGTTCCAAGCATGAGACCTCATTTTCACGGTCCCTCAATATGATGGGAGGGACTCCTCTGTTCTTGCAGCCACCTCCATGGGGTCTGCTGCTGTGGGGCCAAATCTGCCCCCTTCTCCACATGTGGTGGGTTAAGTCACTGCAAATCATATCTCAAGCCAAGGGCTGCCTGTTCCTTCCAGCCCTGTGTTGTCTCAGGAGAATCACCAAGCCTAAAGGATAACACTTCCAGGCTGCTTCTCGGCTCAGTTTGAGTGCCCTACAAGCACTTCCCCTTGCACTTAGCCCGGGCAATGGGATATCCGCAGCTGCGCTACAGCAGGAAAT